CGCCCAGACCCAGGCCTTCCTGAAGAAGATGAAAAGGGAGGTGACTCTGAAGTGCTTCCCTGAGAAGCCAGCCTCCCGCAAACCAGCTTCCTCCTTTCCCTCTTGACGAAGAGGAGGACCCCGCACCCTGAAGGAGCCTGCAGCCTCTTACTCCTGCAATCCCAGCTCCAGCGTCCCTAGAGGTCCCACCGTCCCCCACACACTGAAAAATCTGGGTCACAGGGCACTCTGGGCCTTCTCACAGCTGCCTGAGAGCCAGCAGCCTCTGCCTCTGAGGCCTTGCGGCCCAGCCCTACCCCACTCTTGGTCTACTCCTCCAGGCTGTCAATCACACCAGTCAGCGAGGCACCTGTGCTCAGCACACCCACGTGGAACAGGGTTTGGAGAGGAAGGCACTGCAGCAGGTAAAACAAGGCTGGGAACCCGAGGCTAGGAAAAGCACTCTGGTATTAAAAGGTGGGCCTGAGGAACTCCCCTAGGCTAAATGGATTTTTTTGTGTGTCTTTTTTTTTTTTTGAGACAGGGTCTCGCTGTGCAGTTCAGGCTGGCCTTGGGCTCACTTTGTAGGCCAGGCTGGTCTCCAAATTGCAACAATCCTCCTGCCTCAGCCTCCCGAGTGCTGGGATTACAAGAGTGCACCACCACGCTGGGCGGCAAAGTGACTTTTAGAGGTCATTCATGTTATGTGGTTATTTTCCCTATATAGTAAGTAACAAGCCAAGGAGACTTTTTAGAGCACTTTTAGCATCCATTTCTTCATCCTGGTTACCCAGAATTCAGGAAAAGAGAGGCAAGAGTCTGTATCATTTCCTAGGTAAAGAGACTGAGAGGACAGGTTTGGTAACTTAGAATGAACCACAGCTGAAGAACTCAGGGTCAGAGGTCAAGGACAATGTAATTCCCGGAAACCTATCTCTGGCAACCCTGGCTCTCTCAAAGAGAGGTTTATGCAAAACCTGTTGGTAAAGGCCACAGAAACACAGGTTCATCCAGCAGTCATCATTCAGGAGCATTCACCACATGCCAGGTGCTACGGTGATCTCCCTACTTAGAGTATGTCATTTAAATCTTCATGTAACAGATGTGAGACGGGCACCATCCTGCTTTTAATGTCCTGGCCATCCCAAGGTAAACCCAGCCACGTAGTGCCTCTGCTCTTTGCAATCCCCAGCCTCTGTGTTGGTTAGCTTCTGTGATGGCCTTGATTTCCAGAAGCAGATAAACGATGTGGCCTATCTCCTGGGACCTGGCTTAGTGTGGGTGCAGAAGCAGGATCTGGGCCTTATCCACACCACCTTCATTCACCTGCCAAGGCCACCGCTCTGTCCACTCTGTTTTAACATCCATTCACTCAACAAATACTGATTAAACCGCTCCACATAAAAAAAGGCACAGGGCCAGCAGCTGTGGGAAATACACATTCAGCCAGAAGCTGACTTTGGAGTAAACGGAGGACACTATTTAACAGCAGTCACTGCCATTTACACATCACCCGTCTACCCACATCAGATCACTTATAAACAACGTACTGGAGCCTAAGAAAGGAACTTGTCCAAGGTCACAAGCTTACAAGTGTACAGCCAAGTTACCGCTCCATGTCAACGTTCTTGTCAGCCTGCAAACACACAGATACACACATGCAAGGGTGGGATGAGACTCATGTGAGGCCAGATGAGCTAGGGGCCATGGCTGTCCTGCAGACCCCTTAGGAAAAGCGGCTTCCAAGTTAGCCTGGAAGGTTAGGAAGACTGAATAGTGGGCAAGCACAGGTACCTCCTCCACTCCCCCTGCCCTGTCCACTCTGTAACTGCATTCTGCATCTGGAGGCAAGAGGACCAGAATCCTCACTGAAGCATTCTTTGAAGAAGAGACAAGCCATGGCCAACTCCGTTCAGCTCCTTGGGTCATGCCTCTTGCCTGCTCAGACTTCTACCTTTTTTCCACCAAGGAAACATTTCTGAATGCCTCATTTCACTGGAAACCACAAGAACACTGGGCAGTTGGCAGGGAGGAATGCAGTTTACTTACAGGTGAGGAAAAATAAGCACCCTAAGGACAGGGACCCAACTGGTCTAGCTAACACTGAAGCTCAGGGACCACACCTGGCTCATAGTCAATACTCACCAAACATTTGTGGAATGATCTAACTTTACAAGGCTCAAAGAAATAAATGACTTGCCTAGACTCTCACAAATACTGATGGCTGCAATAGGGCTAAATACAGGTCCTTCCAGGAACCAGGGATTTAGCTCAGGAGCCTGGCAAGCACCAGATCATGAGTTCAATCACTGGTACCAAAATAAATAAATAAATAGATACAAATAAAAACCAGTTATTTTCTCCTACCTAGAGACTACTGGATCCCATAGTCCTGCTTCCCCTCCTCCCATCTGTCTCTCCCCAGCTTCCCTCAGAAATGATTGGCCTCTCTCCACCTGTGGGCTCTGGTTCTCCACAACCTCTTCCCCTCCCACGAGCTAGGAGCGTGTAAGAAACTACTCACTGCTGTAAATCTTATATAATACCACTCCCCTATATCCCTGTCACTCTGCTGAGAACCTGGCAGGCCAGAAATTCTGCAGACGTGAAAACACAGAAAGAAACTGAGAATTAATGGCAAGGGAAATAAAAGCCTGGGAACCAGAGGGCCTTGTGCGTGTCCCCTGGTATCAGTCCTCCCAAAGCAGGTATGGGCTCTCCTGGTCCCAAGATCCTCTGACTCCAGATGCCAGGCCCAGCTTTCCTGGCCACAGGGACAAAAGAAGGGAAGCTGCCTGTCCCCAACACAGGTATACCGCAGCTCCACCAAGCTCCAGCCCAGGACTCAGGGCTGCTTACTTTCCCTCTCTGGCCTCCATAGCTTCATCCTTCAGTGTGCCCAGCTCGCACAGCTGTTGGGAGTAACAACTGGGACAATCTAGGTGACATGATTAGAACAGTGCCTGACACACAGCAGCCAATACCAGCTCTTGACTCTTGTATTTATCCCAAGATGACCAAATTTCCAAGGCGACCTGTTTCCACCACATCAGAGTCCAGGAAATCTGTTTTCTTTCCAAATACATTTAATGTTTTCATTCATACATGTGATAACGCTGAATATTTATAGTAAACCCAGGATCCATCTTCCCCTCAGGAACTGAGTCTCACAGCCATTCCAAGGTCTGGTTTTTTGGGCAGCGTCATCACTCCTGCCCCATCCAGGTTCAAACTGGTTACTTCCAGCAGGGACTTCTTCTCCTAGGCAGGAATCCCATGGAAGATCACAGGACATCTACCATCCTACTCCCACCCCCCCAATCTGACTTTAAATCTATTCTCAAGAAGGCTTCACCTTGAAATTTAAAAATAAGAGTCCCCTGCCTGGTCTCCCATGGCAATTTTCAAATTGCACCCCCCACCAACAATTTTCAGCTCCTCCAACAGCCCAGTGGTTCCAGGAAACAAGCTGAATGAATGCGGGGTCTGTGGCCAGCCCTTCAGTCCCCGCTGTCCCAGAGGGGACCAACAGGGAGAGAATAGGGATTTAAGCAACTGCTGCAAAGTCAAAGAGCCTTCCCTTATTCTGTGGCTGTATAGGGCCGGGCACAGAGAAGCCCCAGGCGCAGGGATGCAGGTCAACGCCACTTTGAGGAAGCCCATTTTGTGTTTTAAATTACCTCTGCGTGTCTGATGATGTGAGTAAAAAGGGCACCGTTTCAGGGCTTAGGATTCCTGAGTGAGCTAATACAGGATGCCTTTGGCTGAGGAAAAAAAAACTTCAGTCGGCTCTCTAAAACTTCCCCCCTCCTTTTAAGTTTAAAAAAGGGAGTGAATGTTACCATTTTTGGACATGAGCACTCTCCCTCAAGCCCAGCCCTAACCGCACTATCCAGAGGGACGAGCCATCCTGTCCCCCCCACTCCCGGATCAGCGGAGGGGGGAGTATGCAACGGGGAGGGACCGGATGGGAGCCGGCAGCTGGGGGCGAGTGGGGGGGACAGAGTACGTGGCCGCCTGGGGCAAGGGCTTACCGCGCAGGCAGGAAAAAGGGCAGCGTTGGGGGCGCTCCGCTCCCCAACAAGCGCGGTTTCTGACCCCTTCCTGCCACTCGCCACTACCAGGGTCCCCCCCCTCCCCGCCAGCTCCCCAGCCCGCCCCGATGGCGGAACGAGCACCCCGCACGCGGAGCCCGGGACGCAGCTCCGAGGCTAAGCACAGATCCACAACTGACCCCAAAGATCTCGGGAGCCCGTCCTGCGCCCTGGGGCCCCTCCACACAAGCCCAGCTGCCCACACTCGCTCTTGACCAAGAAAAGAGCGGGAGTCAGACAGGCAGGACGCACACGCAGAGCCTGTGCCACCGGCCCGGAGTTAAGCAATAAAACGGTTCGCCGTGCTGACCCCGCCCCCACAGGCCCGCCGGGAGCCCGCGGACACCCCCCCACCCCGGTTTCCTGCGCGCTCCTCGCGCGTCCATCTCCAAACAGACCCCGAGCCTGCCGCCAGCCCCTTCAGCACCTGGCTTCGGGCTGGGGTCGGGGGCACACAGAGCCCCGGGCGCCCGGCCCCGCAGGTACTGAGACCCGGGCGGCCCAGGAAGCGCGCTGCCACCGCATGCCATATGGAGGCGGCCAGGAGGCGGGGAGGGGAAAGAAAAATCGATCCCAGCCAGCAGCCACCGAGCCGGGGTCTCAGCCCCAGCCTCCACAGCACCGCCCCCGAGCCCTGCCCACGCGAGGATGCTCACGGCAGCCGCGGGGTGACCTGGATCGTGGCCCCGAGGCGACCTGCCCGCCCGCGGCGCCACCTCCCAGCGCTCAGATCGCCGTTCGCGGGCATGGGGCTTCCGCCCCGCGCCTGTAACCCAACACCCCACCTCACCGCGGCCGCACGTCCCCGCCCCCGCCCCTGTGCGCCGGGAACCCATTCGGAACCCGCGCATGGAGCGCGGCGAGAGGAGCGGGTCCGGGCTCCGGGCTCAGAGCTGGGGGCTACCACGGGCGGGGGCGGCCGCTAACCTTCCTCTGCTGCTTCTCCCAGGCGGGGTCCAGGAGTAGGTCCCGGTCCCAGTCCTCTTCGGGCTGCATGTAGTCGTTGGTTTGCTGGGAATCATAATGGTCCATGATGGAGCGCGTGTGCTAAGGGATGGCTTGCTTCCTCCACCTTCTCTCCGGGCGACGGCGGCGGCTGCCCCGGCGTGGGGAACAGGGAGTCGGCCGGGCCGGGCTGGGCTGGGCTGGGCTGGGCTGGGCTGGGCTGGGCTGGCGGGCCGGGCAGCTCCCGTGCGCCCGGTTCCGCCGCGGCGCTGCACGGAGGCTGCGGCTGCAGCTGACGGCTGGCGGCTGGCTGCTGGCGGCGGCGGCGGGAGCTCGCTGGCTGCCTGCTTCGTGCGCGCTCGGACCTAATCTCCGCGCACACTGAGCGCGGCCGACACACTCGCACTGCGGGAGGCGACGCGGGCGGAGGCGGGGGAAGGGGCAGAGCCTCCCGAGGTTCTCCATTGGCCAGGCCGACTTGCCCAAACTTCCCCCGGTCGCCGCTCATTGGGAATTCCTGGCATCCGTCAGGCGGGCCGCTGCACAGAGGTGGACCGGCGGCCCCGCCCGGCGCGCACGCCCCCGCCCACTCCCCGGGTGCCCACTCCCCCGCGGCTCATGTGACACCAGCTTACGCGGAACGGGACCGAAGCCGGGGACACCTTCCAGAGCTGTGCGATCGAGCAGCGGCGCGTTCGGGAGCCGAGAGCCGCCGGGATTGGGCCGGCGCACCGGCGGGGAGGCCCCAGACTCGGGCGCACCGGCCGCCCTGCGCTCCCGCGCGGGCCGCAAGCCAGAGGCTGGCCCGGGGCTGGGAAAGCCGGAGAGCATTTCGTTTTCTCTTTCCCGGTAACCAGTGGGCACCCCAGGAAAGGGGGCGGGGAGGGCCAGCAAAGGAAAGGAATTTCCTGACTCCGCCGCCGCCGCGCCCCGCCCGGCCCCGCGACCCTGGCGATCCCCGCCCGCCGCGGCCAGGTTTCTCGCCAGTGAAGGGCGCTCGGCGCTCCCGCCTGCCTTTTCGGCCTGGTGTCCGGCTCTGGGACTGCTTCGCCTCGGTCTTCCTGGAGAGCGGCTGGCTTGTCCCATATCCAGCGGCAAGCTCGGCGGGCTGGAGCGGCCAGAGCCTTCTACGGGGTCGACCAGCGTGGTCTGCCGAGGACAGACCTCCAGCATCATCCTGAAAACTGGGCGGAGGGTCCTGAGTGGCCTACGCACACCAGGGCCCCTTCGCATATACACATACCTGACAGGTGGAGGAAACTGAGGCTCGAAGAGCGAAACTGGCTCAGGATTCCACAGACCGATGCTGTACCCTTAAGTTTGACAGCTTTATTGTTACTGGATGAGGAAGGAGGTCAGGATTGGTGAATCTGCTTGGTACCTGGTTAGACTTTCTAGAGTTAATACAAGGAGAGTCTCAGGGTGATGGGGGAAGCGGTCAGCTCCTAGAGTGCTGGAATTACAGGCACCTCCAGGACAGTGAGTCTGAAGATGCAAGTGAACTTTCAATACATTTTAGACCCTGATGTGGACAGCAGATGTGTCCATCTTTCATCGCAACCCCTGGCATGTCGGGCTTACATTTGAAATCAAACTTGTGTCCAGGACCCTGCAGATACCAAAATCTGCAGGTGCTTGAGTCTCTTACATGAGGTTGCCTGTGCTGATTTATAACCTGTGCGTGGCCTTCTTGTATTCACTGTCTCTAGATGACTCATAATATCTAATACCATGTAAATGTGACACAAATAATATAGTGTATTGTTCAGGGAATGACAAGACAAGAAGTGCACATACTTGACAATTTTTTTTTTTTTTTTGCAAAAGGCCACAACCCCTACCATGCACAGATTAGACAAAAATGTGATACCTGAGGTAGATCGTGGAGAAAGTGGACAAGGGACTGTGGGGACAGAGAAGAAGAACACTGGTCTGAATGGTTCCTTTTTGGAGGAAACGAAACTCCAGGGAACCTGCAGGAATGAAAGGCAGATCGAGTGTGGGAGGTTGACCCAGGCAGAAGGAGCAGCATGAGCTAACACAGCTGGCCAGGAAACTTCGGTGCGCAGAGGTATCTTAACCTGCAGGCCTGGAAATCTGGTCCTAGATGGGCAACAGGCGGGGCTGGAGGGATGTTTTCCTGTGCTGTGTGAAGTGTGTGTGTGAGGGCGACAGGCTGGCTGTGAGCTGAAGAGCAGCCACAATAATGCAGGTAAGTCTGGATGAGAGTGGATGGATAAAATACTTTGGAACTAAAATTAAGGGCCTTGGGAGCCTTGTTAGGTGTCAGGAGGGGAAACAGATCATGGAACAGACTCTGGCTTATATATAGTGCATTATCTTATTTAAGCTCCTTTAGCAGAGAAAATAAACCGAGACTCAGAGAAATAGTAATTAGTTCAAAATTACAGTGACTTCTAGATCCATGACCTTGACCAGTGGTTCTCAGTCCTAGGATATTTGGACTTCCCTCCTCAGGCAATACTGGTCGATGTCTAGAGTCATTCAGGATTGTCATCTAGATGGGTTAATGTCAGTATCTGGTGGGTAGAGGTTAGGAATGCTGCCAGACATCCTACGACAACCTGGACAGTCTCCTCACAAATAATTCTCCAACCTAAAGTATCAGTAGGCCTGAGGTTGAGAAACCTTGCATGATGCACAGGTTTAGAGTTTGGATGATCTGGTGAGTGAGGAAGTATAACCAAAAGAGATAGAACAGAAGAAAAGGGTCAGGAGTAGAACCATGGATTGAGTTGGAACACACTGAACTTACATGAATGAGTAGCCCTGACCCCAGGGGAAGCCAATCTGTGAGCCATCTGCGTGGGGTTGCACTGACATTGTGAGGCCATCCATGAAGGACTCCTGAGAGAATATGAGGTGAGGAGCCTGGCAGGTGATGCTCAGAGAGGGAGAGTTAAGGAACAAGACTGCCTGAAAGACAGCGCAGAAATGGTCACAGCCTCAAGTAAGGAGAGCCTGGAGCCTGTGGCGTTGTAGAGGTCAAAGGTGTGAGGTTTCAAAAACCCAAAGGAATCAGCAACATGAGATATATGAAAGAGTCAGGCAGATGACACCTAAAATGTGTTCTTTGACTGTGATGGTTGAAAATTCATGGAGGATTTGGACTGTTGATTTTAGTAGTTAAAGCTGTGAGTTTAACACTGCGAAGTGAGGAATAAATGAAGGCAGGGAATATGGAAGCAAAAGCACCCTGATGGCCAGTAGTTAGGGGAAAAGTGGGATCAGAGGAGGATTTCTTCTAGGAGAGCAGAAATGTGAGTTTCTAAGTCTAAGGAGTCTAAGGAGCCAGGTGAGAGGAGAAAGTTAAAAATGTAAGCAAAGGAGGGTGAGGGTCCTGAAATAGGACCCTGTGGCTTAAGGACACCAGCTAGAGGGTAATCCACAGACAAGAAGAAAGACACCGGGGCTGGGGATTTAGCTCAGCGGCATAAGCACCTGCCTTGCAAGCAGGCGGTCATGAGTTTGATCCCTGGTACCGATAAAAATGAAAAAGACAAAAAAAAAAAAAAGACACCCATCTTCTGAGAAAAGCAGAGGATGAGAATGGCCACAGTGTGAGGGAAGAGTGTTATAAAATAGATTCAGACAGTAACTAACAAACTTGGGTTTCTCAATTAGAAGAAGGCTGTTGGACTTGGTGGCACATATCTGTAATCCCAGACTAAGAGAGCCAAGTCAAGAGGATCACTGTGAATTGGAGGCCAACTGGGGTTACATAGTGAGTTCAAGACCAGCCTGAACTACATAGCTAGACCCTGCCTAAAGCAAACAAAATAGCAAAATAACCCTCACTAGAGAAACATGGTTACATAAAATGTTGATTATTTTTAGGGCTATCAAGGTACACATGTGTTTATGATATTCATTCTATTTCCCTATTAGTGAACAAAGACAATCAAGTACATGCAAGTGTACTAGTCATAGGCTCATACCCCAGTGATTCTGGGCATGTGTCCACAGCCATGTGACCCCCACCAAGTCCAAACAGAAGGCACTTTGGGCACCTCAAGTTCTTCGTGTCCCTTCTATCCTATACTTCTGACCCTCATAAATAGCATTCTAACTTTGTGTTGTGAACAATTATTCTTGTTTTTGAACTTAAGGTAAATACGTACATATACTTTGCTTCCTGGATTTTTAGTTCCATTAAATGGCTATGCAATTCATTTACATGGTGGCATATGTCAGTAACATCAGTAGCTTTTTGTTGTGCTTTTGTTTGTTTTGTTGCACAAAGATAGCCAGGTGTGGAGGCACATACCTGTAATCCCAATATTTAGGAGATGAAGCCGAAGGATCACTGCCAGTTCAAGGCCAGCCTGTGCATTAGCAGTGGGAGCCTCTCTCAAAAAAACAAAAGAAAAAAAAATTACATGATGATAGCCTGAGTAATTTACTGTTCTGTTGATGGGCATTTGCATTGTTTACAGTTTGGGGCTACTATGAATAAAAAGTACTATGCAGACTTTGACGTGTATTTTTGCTGAACAGATGCATGTATTTCCCTGGAGCATATACCTAAGAATGGAATTGCAGGGTCATAAGTTGGACATATGTTTCACTTTAGTAAATACTGCCAAACAGGTTTTCATATTTGCTATAACAACTTACTCTCTCTTAACAGCATGGTATGAAGATTTCAATTTTTCTGTATCCTATCACCCAGTATTGTCAGTTTAAAACAAAAAACTAGCCATAGTGGTTGGTAAACAGTGGTTTCTTTTTGTGGTTCAAATCTCTTCACATGCATATTTATTATCTGAGTCAATAACACCTTTCCCACAGCTATTGACTCTAATAGTGATTAATTGCCAACTTAATCAATGGGCAAGATAAGAGACAATAACATGCATATTCTATTAATTTTCTGAATTGATTTCATTCACTCCACACATGCTTATCAGGCAACTGCTTTGAACCCAGCCCTGTTACTGGAAGTAAAGATGAAGACCAAGCAAGAGCTGAGCATATAACCCCCGTACCTGTAATCTCAGCACTTGGGAAGCTGAAACAGGTGGATCTCCTAAACCCAGAAGTTGGAGACCAACCTGGGCAACAAATAAATACTGATCATGTCTTTAAAAAAAAAAGTAATAAGGGGCCTGTGGCTTTGGCTCAGCTGCATAAGTGCCTGCCTGGTGAGTA